CTACTGAAAAGCAAGACAGAGAGAGAGTGAAAGCAGGCAGGACTCAAGGTCGGCTCTGGTGGCACGCTCCTGTGGGTCTGGGGTCTCTATACCCGATCCCAGACGAGCCCCTAAATGTTAGGGTCTGAGTATCGGGAATAATTCCCACAGACACGAAGGAAAAATGCATAAAAATATTATTCAGATGCCAGGCGTGGTGGCGCACATCTTTAATCCCAGCACTTGGGAGGCAGAGGCAGTGGATCTTTGTGAGTTTGAGGCCAGCCTGGTCTACATAGTGAGTTCCAGGACAGCTGGGGCTACAGGGAGACCGTCTCAAAAAGACAAAAAAAAAAAAAAAAAAAAATTCGGAAATTTAAAGTATAAAGTAACCCAATTAGCAGCTAGCTGGGCACAGACTCCACGAGCCAAAGATGGCGTCTGGCCTGAACAATAGCAGGCAGGGGCTTCTATTAAAGAACTCCACAGAAACCCGTGTGCGCCAAGCATCTTTTAAAATAATTGGATGGCCCCATATTCTGAGTTCGGGGGAAGTTTTGATTGGTAGGGGCTGTCTTCAGGACATTGGAATGTGCTGACTGATATCTTTAGGGCCAGAGTTTTTGTTTATACCTTACAAGGCTTTTACATGTTTAGAGTTTGCTTAAGCTATAGCTTCCTGGGGTGGGGTAGGGGGGTAGCAACTAGAAAAATTTACAATATGCCTGAGCTTATCTGGGCTTGTCTGAAGAAGCTATCCAAATGGGGTCAGTGTATCCTGGCTCTTCAATAGTGACAGCATTGAGAAACATCTGTTACATGTGGACAGAACACCAGTGAAAAGAATAGTGGCATAATCCCACAAGATTCATGGCATTGGCCTTTGCCTAGGCAAGACACTTGTTTAAAATGGCTTTGACCCCCTGGTAGCCTTCACTGAGCGCCTTAGAGACACTTCATTCTGTTGTGGTTTTTTCCTTAAGATCATGACTATAGTAAGACCCATATGTACTCACTTTGTACAAAAGTGTGCTGGAAAGATACTGTGTGATGTGCGTTTTCTGTTTTGTCTTGTTTTGATATTTATTTTTGTTTTTTGAATATTTTATTTATTTGACCTCTTTAGCCTCTATTTTTTGAGACTGAGTACTGCATAGTTCAGTCTGGTCTTGAATTAACAAGGGTAATCTTGAACTACTGGTTCTCTCTCTTGCCTCCACCCACTGAGTGTTGGGGTTACAGACATGCACTACTACCCCTAGTTTTATGAGGTGCTGAGGATTGAACCCAGGACCTTGTGTGTGCCAGGCAAATACTACTGATTAATCTATATCCCTACCCCTATTGATATTTATTTTTATTTTATATTTTGGGGGATTTTTTTGAGACTGAGTCTCACTCTGTAGCCCAGGCTGGTCTATCCAGTTCCAGAGGAATCTGATGCCCTTTTCTGCCTTCCACAGCATTGCACAACACAGGTGCACTTATATATGTGTAGGCAGTACACTCATACACATAAAATAAAAATAAATATTTTTTTAAAATAATTATATCTCCTAGGTTGTATGTGTGTGTGTGTATACACACACATACACACACACACACACACACACACACACACATATATATATATATGTATATATATTTTGGTCTTTTTGAGACAGGGTCTCCCTTGTAGCCACAGCTGGCCTGGAACTCGCTATGTCGACCAGGCTGGCCTTGAACTCACAGAGATCTGCCTGCCTCTGCCTTAGTGCTGGGACTAAAGATGTGTTCCACTATGCCCAACTAAGAGCTAGAATTTTTATACAGTGCTAGGGATTGCACTCGGAGCCTTGTGTGTAGGCAAGCACTTTCTTGACTGAGCTGTCCCTAGGCTCATTGATTTTCTTTCTCTTTAAAAATTTTATTGCATTTATTTAGTGTGAGTATGTTTGTATGTGGGTGAGTACATGGCATGGTATGTAGGAGATGGTCAGAGGACAACTTGCAGAAGTCAGTTCTTTCCGTCTACCATGTGGGTCCTGGGGATCAAAATCGGGTTGTCAGGCTTTGCAGCAAGTGCTTCAACTTGCCAAGTCATCTTGTGGGCACATGTTTTTATTTTTCTGAGAGAAAGTGACACTCTGTAGCCCAGTCTGGCCTAGAACTTGCTATGTAGTCTGGGATGGCCTCAAATTTGTGGTAATCCACTTGCCTCAGTCTCCCTAGTGCTGGGATTACAGGTTTGAGTCATTATGCTGAAATCTAATTTTATTTTATTTTAATTTTTGTGTTTACTTATTTAGAATTTTTTACATTGTGTGTGTGTGTGTGTGTGTGTGTGTGTGTGTGTGTGTGTGTGTGTGTGTATATACACATGTGGGCACCACTGTGTACATATGGAGGTCAAAGGACAACTCTAGGAAGTCAGTTCTCCCCCTCCATCATGTGGGTCCTGGGGAGAGAATTTAGGTTGTTGGGCTTGCTGGCAAGTGCTTTTACCTTCTGAGTCATTTCACCAGCCCCATTTATTTATTTTTGAGACAGGATCTACTGTAGCCTAGGCTAGCTTGAAACTCACTATGTAGCTAAGAAATCCTAAATGCTTAGTCATACTGACTCTAGTTCTCAAGTACTGGGATTACAGGTTTGAACCAACGTGGCCAATCCATTTTGGTATTTAAAAGTTGATTATTATGACCTGTGTAATTGACCTTACAACCCATTAATGGGTCTTCACCTTGAAAACCACTGTTCCAGTGCCTGACCTGTGTACCTTCTTAGAATGAGAGCTACTTTAGGATATCTCATCATATCTTATCAGGGGGCTATAATATGTTGGGTAAGAAACACACAGGAGAACGAAGCATGTGCTGGGAGAGAGGTGTAGTGGTACACATCTATAATCCCAGCTCTTGGGAGGCAGAAGCAGGAAGATCATCTAGCATTCAAAGCCAGTCTGTGTTAGATGGCATGTTTGAGGCCAGCCTGTGGTACATGATTTGAGACCTTGACTCAGCTCCTCTCCCTCCTGTCAAAAGAAAAAGAAACACATGTAAGTTTTTCAAAAGCAACTTTAGGTTGTGGCCCCAAATGGAGGTGTTTGTTTTTCCTATGCAGTCAGGCACTGGAGTTATGTTCTGCTTCAGGTGCTGTACTGAGGCGTTTTGCTAGGGTTTAGCTATTCTATGGCACAGATTTTATTTTTTCTCTAAGACTTTTAAAGTAACACAAACGTGTATTAACTTATTCTGAAAAGTGACCTCAGATGTATTTTAACATGTAAAATGTTCTTAAGTTCTGGGTTAGACTTCATCACTCTGACAAAACACCAGAAAAAACAGTTTAAAGGGTTTATTTTGGCTCATAGTGTCAGAGGGTTCTGTCCATTGTGGTGGACTGGATGTGGTAGAGTAGAGCAGCTCACATCATGGTGGCCAAGAAACAGAGGCAAGCCTGCACTAAGGGCTTTCTCCTCCACTGATCTCTCCCTCTATGGAATGGTGCCTCCCACATTCAGGGTGGGTCTTTCCCTCCAGACATATCCATGTGGCGCATCCCTATCTCCTAGGTTCTTCTTTTTGTTTTGTTTACTTTTTTGAGATGTGGTCCCTCTGTAGCCTCAACTGGCCTGGAACTTACTATGTAAACCAGACTGGCCTTGTTCTCCTCCTGAGATCATACTAAGCTAAAAAAAAAAAAATAATAAAACAAAAAATTATTTAAAATTTTATTTTCTCTGGGCATGGTGGTACACACCTTTGATCACAGCACTCAGGAGGCAGAGGCAGGCAGATCTCTGTGAGTTTAAGGCTAGCCTGGCCTACATAGTTCCAGGCCAGCTAGGGCTACAGGGAGACCCTGTCTCAAAAAACAAAGACCGAATTTTATTTTCTGTGTAGAAAAGTAATACATTATTAAAATAAGAAAAGTAGAAAGAAGCAGAGCAGTGTTGAGTCATAACCTCAGTGCTAGTGGCCTGTGTTTCCTTCTGTTGTGCTGTAGTTTAGTTTTTAAATTTGAAAATTTTATTTTTATTTTATGTGTATGAATGTATTGCCTGCATATGTGTAAGTACACCCATGTCATGCAGTGCCTGCAGAGGTCAGAAGGAACTGGCATTACAGACAGTCGTTAGCTGCCACATGGGTGCTGGGAATTGAACCTCGGTCCTCTCTAAGAGTGGCCAGTGCTCTTAACTGCTGAGCCATTTCTCCTGCCCCTAGTTTAGTGTTTTATTTTATTTTATTTTTTTTTAAATTATTTTTATTTTATGTATGTGAGTGCTTGCCTGCATGTATGTATATGCACCACATGTGTGTAGTGCTGGTGGATGCCCTGGTACTGGGAGTTACAGGCAGGTGTGAGCTGCCATGTCAGTGCTGGGAGTTGAACCCAGGTCCCCTGCAAGAGCAGCAAGTGCTATTAACTGCTGAGTCATCTCTCCAGTCCCAATTTAGTTTAGTTTTGATCTTTGAGACTGGGTCTTACTATGTAGCCTGGGTTGGCTTTGAATTCATAGCAGTTATCCTCCTTCAGCCTATGAGTGCTGGAATTAAAGATGTGTGTTGCTATGCCTGATCAATTTTTTTTTTTTTTAATTTTATGTGTATGAGTGTATTGCTTGCATGTATGTAAGTACACCTGTGTCATGCAATGCCTGTAGAGGTCAGAAGAGGCCATCAGATTCCCTGGAGCTGCAGTTACTAGCCGCCATGTGGGTGCTGGGAGTCATCTGCAAGAGCAGCCAGTGCTCTGAACCACTGAGCCATCTCTTCAGCCCCCCGGTCAAATTTTTTTTTAAAACTTTTTTGGAGGTGCTAGGGATTGAGCCAGGTCACCTGCATGCTACGTAGGCACTCTACTACTGAGCAACTTCCCCAGCCCTATGTTAATTTTTAAGGGATTAAAAATTGGTGCGTGAATGTTTTTCTGTTTATAGTATTTTCCATATCTAGCATTATTATCTCAATATATTTGCAAACATGGGAAGGTAAGTTTATAGATCAGATCCATTTTTCTTTTTCTCTCCCAATAAGAAAGTTGGCCCTAAAATGCTGGATCATGAAGGGAAAGAAGTCCCAGGAAACCGTGGTTACAAGTACTTTGGAGCAGCAAAAGATTTGCCTGGTGTCAGGGAGCTATTTGAGAAAGAACGTAAGTAACTCATGCTTGAGAAGGCATTGGCTGTAGATACTGGTAATGATGGAAGTGTGACATGTGCTGTGTGCTCTTCCTGTGTTGTTTCTTAGCTGTGAAACAACTGTGAGGTATATAGATTATTATGCCCAGATTTTTTTTTCCTCTTTTTTTTGAGACAAGTGTCTCCCTGCAACCCCAGCTGACCTGGAACTCACTATGTAGACCAGGCTGGCCTCCATTTTACAGAGCTCTTCTTGCCTTTGCCTCTGAACTGTGGGATTAAAGGCATATGCCACCACACCTGGCTGTTTCCAGAGTTTTGAAAACAGTCTTTAAATTTTATTCTTATTTTATTTATTTTGGAGTATCATGTAGCTCAGAGTGGTCTCAAACACCTGATTTTCCTGCCTCCACCTCCTAAGTACTGGAATTGCAGGGAGACACTGCAATTTTTTTTTTTTTTCAGATGTAGTGCCTTGCTGTAGCCCAGGCTGATCTCACACTTCTGTTCATCCTCAACCTCAGCCTCCAGATTGCTGGTGTTACAAGCCTGTGTCACCATGTCTGGGTTTATGTCATTGTCGTTTTGTTTGTTTTGTTTTTGGAATTAACATTTTTCTTTATATTTATTAACATTTGCTTATTTATTGTATATGGGGGAGGGTACATGTATACCACAATGTGTGTGTGGAGGTCAGAGGACAACTTTGCAGGAATGGTTCTCTCCTTCCTCCATGTGGGTCCTGGGTATTGAAGTTAGGTTATCAGACTTGGTGGTACTTTTACCCACTGAACCATCTTACTGCCCCATTTATATTGTTTTAAAATATATTTTATTTTTCTTCTGTGTTAGGAAATTGGACCTAGGTCCTTGCCCAAGCTAGGTACCAACCTGTATACCCTCAGCCTGCTAAATGTATTTTTATTTCAGTTGTAGGTTTTCTTGTTGATATGGGGCCATGCAGTGTTGTGTGAACTTGAGCTCAAGTGATCATTCTGCCTCAGTCTCCTGAGTTGTTGGAACCATAGACATGTGCCATTATGCCTGACTCAAGAGTGATGTACCTTTCCAAATGTGGTGGATGGCACATGCCTTTAATTCCAGCATTCAAGAGACTGAGGTAGGCAGATCTCTGAGTTTGAGGCCAGCCTGGTCTACATAGCAAGTTCAAGGCCAGCCAATGAGACCTTATCTCAAGAAAAAAAATGTGATGAGCATAAGTCACTCTCACCCAGTATAATTAAAACAGCACAGAGGGAATTCAAGGCCCCTTGCTGCTCCATCCCAGGGCTCTAGTAGAGGTAGGAACCATTATTATATTTATATTCCTTTCTAGGTCCTTTTCAAGGCACTTATGTCCTTATTTCACCCTTACTGGTGAGAGACTAATCCATCTCCACTGACTTAAAGTGGATTTTTCTTTTCTTTCACATGATTGCATTTAAAACCAGATCCCATGGTTGAGAGGAACACTGTGCTCTGACTTCAGCCATTTTGATCACAGGACATGGACCAAGAATGGCAGATAAAGTTGCCATTACCACCTTCAGTCCCAGCACTCAGGAGGCAGAGGCACCATCTCTGTGAGATTGAGGCCAGCCTGTTCTTCATAGTGAGTTCCAAGCCAGCTTGGGCTACAGGGGGAAAGAGAAAAAACAAAAACGTGTGAGTGTGTGTGTGTGTTTGTATGTGTGAAGTGTGAGTGTACACATGCCTCTGGTGGTAGAGGTCAGAGAATACCCTTTTGGGAGTCAGTTCTCTCCCATCTAGTTTTGAGGAAGAACCTCTTGCATTGTTTCTGCTGTGCTGCGTTTGCTAGGCTAGCTGGCCCTTGAGCTTTGTGGTGATTCTCCTATTTCCCTCTCTCATCTTGCTATAAGAGTGCTGGGTTTACAGGTGTGTGCTACTGCATCTGACTTTTTTACATGGGTTTAGGGGACTAAAGTCAGGTGATCAGGCTTGCAGAGCAATCACTTTTACCTGCTGAGCCATCTCCCTGTTTTGTTTGAGACAGGGTCTTATTAGGCAGCCCAGTCCAGCCTGGAACTTGTTATGTCATTCAGGCTGACCTGCCAAGTGTAGAGATTAGACATGTTTGCTACCATGCCCTGGATTAATGAAATTGATTATTGAATCTAATTACTAATTGAAATGTTCATACATTTGCATTTTTTCTTCTTTAGATGTCAACTTTGATTTTCCTTTGAAAATTACTGTAATATTCTGGATATTCATTCTTAGTCTGAAATATTTCTTCAGAATATTTTTATTTGGTCTTGTAGTTTTCTTTCTCTTTTCTTTTTGTCTTTTTGAGACAGGATTTCCCTGTAGCCCCCAGCTGACCTGGAACTCACTATGTAGATTAGGCTGGCCTCACAGAGATCCATCTACCTGCCTCTGCCTCCTGAGTGCTAGGATTAAAGGCATGTGCCACCACACCCATCATATTTAGGTTTTATACCAATTAACATTATTACATTTCCTGTGTTACTAAAACACTTTGTGAAATAGCATTAAAGAGGTTGCAGGGCCTCCCATCCTACACACATCCTGTGATGTATAATGTTAGATTATTCCCAGCATTTCACTATTGTATGAATAGTGCTGTGATGCACTTCTGTGCATAAAACTTTATTATGGACTTAACGGGTTTTGGGGGGATTGCTCCTGGACTTGCTAAATGCACAGTTTACTATTGAGCTACATCTCTAGGTCTGTTTTATTTCAATTGGGATAGATTTCATTTATTTACTTGTTTCTTATTTTACTTTTGTGATGCTGAGGATTAAAACCAGGGCCTTGAGCATGTGAAGCAAGCACTCTGCCACTGACCTATACCCTTAGCTCAAGAATAGATTCCTTCTTTTTTTTTGAGGGGGGAGTCTTTTTGAGACAGGATCTCCCTGTAGCTCCAGCTGGCCTGGAACTTGCTATGTAGACCAGGCTGGGCTCGAACTTACAGAGATCTGCCTACCTCTGCCTCCCAAGTGCTGGGACCAAAGGTGTGCACCACCACGTCCGGCTTGGATAGATTCCTTCTAAATGCACTAATTGAACCAAAACTTCAATTTTAGGAAGGGTAGCCCCCCTCATTTGGTTCCATGCATGATAAACAGAAATGATGATTTTGTGGTATTTTTATAGCCATGTGTCCTTGTGGCTCTCACACTATATGGGGAGAAGGTTTGGTTCAAGGGTTATCATGATGTGACTGCAGCTAAGTTGCTACTGTTTCTTATAGCCCTTCCTCCTCCCAGAAAGACACGTGCTGAGCTCATGAAGGCAATTGATTTTGAATACTATGGTTACCTGGATGAAGATGATGGGGTTATTGTGCCTTTGGAACAAGAATACGAAAAGAAACGTATGTCCACCTGGCTTCTATTCTCTCCTTTTTAAATTAAATTAAATTTTTTGGTCTTTTTTGAGACAGCTGGTCTGGACCTCACTATGTAGACCAGGCTGGCCTTGAACTCATAGAGGTCCTCCTGCCTCTGCCTCCCAAAAGACTGCTGGGGTTAAAGGCCCAATTCACACGCCACTATGCCCAGCTCTCTCCATTTTTTTTTAAATTAAATTTTCTTAAAATTTAATTTTTATTTTATGTGTATGCATGTTTTGCCTTGCATGTATGTAAGAGTAAAGAACTGGAGTTATGGATGGTTATTAGCTACCATGTAGGTGCTAGGAACTGAACCTGGGTGTTCTGAACCAGTGCTCTTAAACACACTCTCTAGCCCTGGTCTCGCCTTTGAAAATGGTTTTAAATGGTGCATGATACCAGTGGTGGGCTTTCATTGTTGCTAAGTGTCTTCACAGGTCTGGTGGTAACCTGACACCCAGGTGGCAGGTGAGGCACTCAGGATCACTCTGGGCCCAGAGCAGCAGGTAAAGCCATAAAGCCGCTCTGGCCTGTTCCTGTTGCCAGGAGGTCACTATTTGAACTTGTGAAGTGGTACCCATATCAATAGCTTTTAAACCTGCTTCAGGTGCAGCTGACACTTTATTGATGGAGAAGGAGGTGGTGTCACTGTATGAGTGTTTCCTTTCTGTAAAGCATACCACACCAGCCTAAGAAGAGCATCCATGGTAATCCCCATAAGCTTTGGAAGCACATGGGGGTAGGATTCAGCATGCTACGGCCCTGTGTCCTTCCTCTTTCATGTGGGCATGTAAGGAAGCTATTGGAGAGGATTTGGAAACATTCTCATAAAAGCTGCCTTGCACCTACTTAAGGCCAGAGACATTGTGGGGCAGATTGTCCTTTGCAGTCATTTTATACCCTCCAGGGCAGAATCAGGGTGTCCCTTTCTGGAGGGGACATCTTGAACTTTCCAGCTTAGTGAAAGCTTTCTAAATAGACTATATTCTTCTTTATCTTAAGTCAGAGCTGAGCTGGTAGAAAAATGGAAAGCAGAGAGAGAGGCTCGGCTGGCAAGAGGAGAAAAGGAGGAGGAGGAGGAAGAGGAAGAGGAGATCAACATCTATGCTGTCACTGAGGAGGAGGTACTGGCCTGGGTCCTGTCTGGCCCTCATTGTCCTCTGCTCTGAACTACAAAGTACGCCAGGGAAGAGGCTGGGTCAGGGTCAGATGGCTGTGATGACTTTTCTCAAGATCACAGGGAGGGTTCCAGACATGGCTGGCCTAGGGAACCTTTTTAACTGTGCATTAAAGTAGGGCTGATGTCCTTCCTTGTAATAGATCAGTCCTAAAGGATGCAGAACAGAGTTTATAAACCCATTGACATTATGTAAGCTTTAGTCCATGACCTTGGGACTTCTGTTCAGATGGCTCTTCAGCTGCTCTCCTGTAGTTTTCATGTCCACGTCACAGTTGGAAAGAAGCCCAGGGTGGAGAATGGGCTTTTGCAGAGGATGGTGATCAGGGATGGGGCTGTGGTCCATACTTCTCAGGCAGAACCTTTGGCTCTTCTGCAGGGTCCAGCACGTAGACACCTTGCTGTCTGGATCAATCAAAACATCTTTGATTTGCTATTCTGAGATGGGGAGAAACAGCTAATTTTCCATGTACAATTGAGGGTGTTTGCCTAGAATAAAGAAGCAGGTGCAGAGAGAGGTTTGATGACTTTGTAAATGTCTCACAGGATGTAGTAGGCTGGAACTTCCTCCTCAGGTCCAGCTGACCTACAGTGGAGATCAGTAGAGTCTGAAGTATTGTGCCCTGGACTTTCTCTGGGTGCAAATACTCACTTGATTCTTCAGCTGCTTAGTTACTGGCCTCTGTGAGCCAGGCTCAGCCAGGTGCAGGAACACAGCAGCCATACAAGCTCAGCAGAGGCAGTAGCTTGTAGTCCAGAGAGGCAGTGCAGGAAGCAGGGGCAGTATGGCCTGTGCTTGTTGAATTGATTCTTCACCTGTGATCAGGATAACCAAGGGGATTAACAGGGTTCGGAGAAGGGGGCGAGCACCAGGCAAAATGAGAGTCACAAATGGCAGGCCAGTGGTGGTGCACTGGACACGTAGTGCTAGTGGAATGAGGCTGAGGAGGGGTTTCCATGGGAAACCATGGAAAGGATTTCTTTATCCTTTGAAACATCATAGTTTTAAAAATTATTTTGCTTTGCTTATTTTTGTGGTACTAGGGAAATAAGCACTCTACCACTGAGCTTTATCTCCAGGTCTTTTTATTTTGAGACATGATTTCACTAAGTTGTTCAGGCTGGCCTTACTGTTACTCTGTATCTCATGCTGGCCATGAATTTGTGGTCAGCCCTCCTGCCTCAGCCTTCTGAGTGGCTGGGATTATAGTTTTTTGCCACAAGACCTGATTTATAGGCCACTGCAAAGAGTTTGCAGAAATCCTGTGTGTCTCTTCACCCAGTTTCCTCAGTGTCTGCATATTATATACCTGCAGCAGAGCAGCACATCACACATGTGGATCATGTCACCATCTCTGTAGAACAGTGTCCACATGCCCTGGTGCAGTCATATATCCCTGTCTATCATCTCTTATTGCTGGCAAATTGATCTCACTGTCTGTGATTTTGTCATTTCAGGACAAAACTAAAAGCTGGAGCTGTTGTAGGGCCATGATGTTTTATAAATTGAATCTCCCCATGCGTGTATTTTGGAGGTGGCATTTACACTAAGCCCAGTCAGTGCCTTTGAGAGCCTTCTGGTTGTTGAGTTCATTGATTTCTTCTTTTTTGGCCACTGAGTGACGTTCCGTTTATACTTTATCTTAGCCGAAAGGCTGAGAAGCCATAGATCCAAACAGAAAAGTGTACAAGTCATGAGGAGTGTGGGTTGCCAAATTTTCTTATGGTGAACACACATATAACAAATAGGCAGGAAGAGGCAGGATGTGACCATAGTAAACAAAGTCCTGTATTGGGGTTACTCTGTGCCTGTGATGACCCACGTTTTACCTGTTGCTGACCTTTAGCTATGCATGGAATTATGTAACTTTTGTGTCTACTGTATACCTTGGGGCTCTAACAAATGGGGTTACTGTGAAGTTTCTTGTTTGTGTGTGATGTTTACAGAATGTGTACTAGGAATGGAATTACTCCCAGAGCATAGTGTAGGCATGTGTTTAGTAATTTCAGACACAGCCAGTTTTCCAAAGTACTCATCCCAAGCTTCTCACTGACAGCAGTGTATGAGGGGTTTCCCCCAAAGAGTCCAAACTTGCTCCTTTCAGCAGCCAGTGTGGGGCATCTGGTACTGAAACTGGCTCACAGTGGGTTCCCAGCACATCACCAGAGTCCTCTCACTTTGAATTCCAGGTTATTTTTTAGTTACTAGTAACTGACTGTGCTGGATAGCTTTAGTGTCAACTTGACACACCTGGGTTGAGGGAGCCTCAATTGGGGAATTGCCTCCATTGGACTGGCCTGTGGCCATGTCTAAGGGCATCTTCTTGATGAGTGATGTAGGAGGGCCCAGCCCACTGTGGGTGGTGCCACCCCTGGGCAGGTGGGCCTATGTTGCATAAGAAAGCAGGCTGAGCAGGGGCCAAGGGAGCAAGTCAGTAAGCAGTGTTCCTCCATGGCCTGTGCTCCAGCTCCTGCTTCCAGGTTCCTGCCCTGAGTTCCTACCTTGGACTCCTGATGAACTGTGACCTGGGAGTTGTAAGCTGAATAAACCCTTTCCTCCCCAAGTTGGTATTGATCAGAGTGTTTTGTCACAGCAATGAAGAAACAAACTAGGACACTGGCTCACATGTAGCCTAAGTTGATCTTTCTTTTCTGAATGATATATATTTAAAACTTAAAAACTAAGCTGGGTGTGGTGTGCATACCTTTAATCCCAGCGCTTGGGAGGTAGAGACAGGTGGATCTTTGTGAGATTGAGGCCAGCTTGGCCTACATAGTGAGTTCCAGGTCAACTGGGGCTATGGGGAGGCCCTGTCTGAATCCCCCCACCAAAAAACCCCTCAAAACAGAACAATAAAAAATAAGTAATACAGAAGGTACAAAACCAAAGTGTATGCAGATATGTAACAAGTATTTTCTTTCCTATTCCTGCTTTCTGTCCACTTAGTTCTCAATAGTTTATAGTCTTATTTTCTCTCCTTATCCAGAGGTAGCAGAAAACTCTTCTGTTGCTTTTATTTACTGAGTCTTAAGAGTCTCCCTTCTTAGGGCCAAAACTTCCTTGTTCTTTTCCCTGCCTCTCTTCCTCCTTCCCTCCCTTTCTAACAGCTGTGGGATTGTGCTTTTAAAATTTTTTAAAAATTATTTTTAAGGGCACAAGGCCCTGGGTTCAGTCCTCAGCTCCAGAAAAAAAAAAAAAAAAAAAAAAAGACAAAATAAAAAAGATTTTATTTTTAATTATGTATATGTTTGTATGTCTGTGTGTGGGTATGTGCCCTTAAGTGCAGGTGTCCTCAGAGGCCAGAGGCATCTGATCCCCTGGAGCTGAAGTTCCAGGACATTGTGATCTGACCATCATAGGTACTAGGAACAAGTTAGGAACTGAACTGCTCTTAAAGAGCAGCAAGTGCTCTTAACCACTGAACCATCTCTCTAGCCCCGTGGCCCTTTTTTTATTGCTGTTTTTGGAAATTGTAGCTCAAGCTAGCCCAGAACTTGAAGCAGTCAAGTTCTTATGTGACTGGTAACCTGCTCATGGATTGTGTATATCTCTTTTACAGTCTGATGAGGAAGGCAGCCAGGAGAAGGCAGGGGAGGATGGGCAGCAGAAGTTCATTGCTCACGTTCCGGTGCCATCACAGCAGGAGGTAGGATGCAAGTTGTGTGCCCTGGGGACAGGGTGCTGCTGCCCAGTGGGGCCACTCTTCCAGTGCAGGATCATCTTTGTGGGTGTTTTTGTTCTTGTGTTCTACTGGGTAGCCCTGAATCCTGATCATGTGGCACTCATAATTGTGTTCACAAAAAGGTACAGGAATGCAGGGCCCTCTCTCTAGATGATGTGGCCAGCATGAGCTTTAGTCAGATGTTCTCAGAAGGAAATGGCTGGGTTCTTACAGATCCTCCAGGAATAAGTCTGGTGAAGGCCAGACTTCCTGACCATGTCCTTGCAGGTACTCCCCTGGTTGTGTTGTAGCAGGGATGGGCTAGGTGACTTCTTCATTGTGGATACCCACAGATTGAGGAGGCACTTGTGCGGAGGAAGAAAATGGAACTTCTCCAGAAGTATGCAAGTGAGACCCTGCAGGCCCAGAGTGAAGAAGCCAAGCGGCTCCTGGGGTATTAGGACGAGCCAGAGCCCTCCTTGGAGTCTGGAAGATCTGGTGGGTGTGCTTGTGACCCCCCATGGGCTCACCATCCCCATCACCACCTGGGCGGCGTGCCAGGCCGGCTGGTACCATGAGGCCCCGTGCCTTTCTCATCATTCATCTTGCTTTTTCTGGACCTTTTCAGGACATGTGAGCTGGTCTGATGGTGGGGTCCAGTCCCTGCCTCCCTGGCAGGCTGTCAGGGTATTGAAGACTACAGCCTTCACCTCAGTACATACAGATGCTTTTGCTACCATATGGATCCATTTATTTTTATTTTGGAATGTATAAAATCTCCATCAGTTGTCAGCTGGCTGCTGAAATTTTGTTCTGCCTTGTACTGTGCTCTTGGGAAGAGGACGACCAGTTAGTAGACAGCATTTAAAAAATGTAATTTTAGCCAGGCATGGTGGTGCACGTCTTTATTCCCAGCATTCGGGAGGCAGAGGCAGGTGGATCTCTGTGAGTTCAAGGCCAGCATGGTCTCCATAGTGAATCCAGGCCAGCTGTGGCTACAGGGAGACCCTGTCTCAAAAAGACAAAAAAAAAAAAAAAGTAATTTTATTAAAAGACATATCTTCCTTAGAAAACTGAAATGATGTATCTACCCTGAGGCTAAATCCCATGGGTCCTTAGCTGGAGTCATTCCATGTGCTGGGCACTGCTTTGCTTTACCTTGATCCCCTTCTGTGAGATCCTCCTTCATTCTCTCCTGCCTTAGGGAAAAGAATTGAGTTTGCAGCTTTTATAACCTGTTCCAGAGAGAGCTATTTTTAATTAAAGATTTTTATGACTGGAAACATTTATGCCTGCACCTTGTTCCATGGGGTAACTAGACTGAGATGGTATGTGGTCAGTCATGGAAGGCGCTGAGCACTAGGGAGGTATGGGTGCGGGGGGTATAGATAGTGGAAGGAATGGTACAGATCCCAGGCTCCATCTTGTACAAGCATCAAGCATCCCACCAGGGCCTTATGTCCACAGCTGAGGATGGCTGTGCTGTGCTCTGTCCTGTGTGGATGCACGTGGTGGGCACCCAGTGACTGTGTCCAAAGCACCACTCTGAGCTGAGTCTTTGTTACCTGTCAGGAACCTCCTATAAAGGACTACAACCCTGAGCAGTGTGGGACCCAGTCCTCCTACATCATGGGGTAATGGGGGCTGACAGAGCTATGTTGCTACAAGTAGCTGTGTTGGGAGATAAGTGGGACCAGCCAGCAGCTGGCCTGGCTGCCGCCTCTTCTTCTTCTTTTTTTTTTTTTTTTTTTTTGGTCTTTTTGAGACAGGGTCTCCCTGTAGCCCCAGCGGACTTGGAACTCACTATGTAGACCAGGCTGGCCTTGAACTCAAGGAGATCCATCTGGCTGCCTCTTTAAGGAGTCTGAGACCATGGGGAAAATATGGAAGGTTCTGAGTAAGGGAGGCAAGACCTAGTCAATGGGCAACTTGCTCTTGGAAGCTCCCTGAGGGAAGGGCTGGGCTGGTAGGGACTCTGAGCCAAGGCTACAGAGAAGAGGGACAGGTCCAAGGTGGAGCTTTGGTAGCCTTCAAAGGCAGGGGGATAGGGCACAGCACCACCTACGGCCTGGCTTATTTTGGGCTCAGGAAGAACTTGGGGCTTAGAACATGTCCTTCTGGGCCTCTGCCTTGATTTCCCTCCTCTGTTTTCTCTCTGATCTCAGCAGTCCTCTGGTGTGACCAGAGGCTTCAGAGAATCCTGGGGATAGACTGCATAGATCTGAGCCTTGGGAAGCATTGGGATGGTCAGGCTCAGGCAGATCCACCTCTGGGTTTACCGTAATTTTAAGGGGCACATTGGGCTGTGGTGTTTCTTACCCTAAGAAGAAGGAGTGTGCCTAGAGTGAGTTTCTTCAGAAAGCTGAGGGCTCTGGGCCTTCAGGGTATTAAGCTCTTCCCTGTGAGGGCTCCTTGGAACTTCCCTAGGTTGCAGGGTGCAGTTAGAGCTCATGTTTATGGAAACAGGCACCAGATGGAGAAGCATATGGCCAATCATTGTACCAGCGCCCTTGGTGGGGACCCCAACAAGGTACAGGCACTGTTGGCAGGTTTGTCCAGGATTGTCCAATGTGGGGCAAGTAAGTAGCCAACCTACTGGGGCCAGTGTGACTACTGGTATGGATGTGGTTACCTGGCCTAACTCTTTGTTCAAGGGGGTGAGGCCAGTTTTGGCAACTCTTGATTGCAGAAGTGGGTATGTGTGCTTTGACTCTGCCTGCTATTTCTAAAAAGATGACTTTTCATAGCTGTATTTCCATTCACTTCCCTATTTAGCCTACCGTCTTCCGGTGAGTCTAAAATACACAATCTACTATATTGCTTCAAGATAAATGCCACCTACCCCAATCAGGACTTCAACTGCTCTCCTCCCTACCCTTTCTTCCTCTGACTCCAAATTTCTGCTCTTGACTATACAAACCAGGAATGGATGGAAACTTTGCCTGGTCCATGGCCACTCTTGACCTAGAACATGTGCTCACAATATGGAGAAGTGGCAGCAGCCTCTTCCTGTTTCCTCACTGCCCCCAGGAAGGACCTAAGTAGGGAGTTTTTCACTTGCACAGATTTGTCAGGGAGGTGCAGGTCTGGTCCACCTCCCAACCTCTCTTGATGCAAGAATAGACAGGTTCCTAGGGTAGCCAATAGTAGCCTGCTTCCCTCCAACTCAGACCTGTGCCTGTGCACTGGACACTCTTTTCTTACAACCTCCTGGGACCTTGAAAGCAAGTCACTGTAGTGTTTGAGCTGTTTCCTCTTCAGTGAAGTCAGTGGTAAGAGATGAAGCTACCCACAGTTCCCCACTAACCAGAGTGTTTGTGGACAACAGAGGGGAGCAGATGATGCTGAAGTGGAGATTTGGGCTTTGAATATTTGGGCATTCCTGGGGATCTGAAAGGACCCTTGTAATCCTGTGAACAAGTATACTAGTGTGAGATCTCTTATAGGCAGAGTTGATGGGAAATGGGGGCCTGTGGAGTAGACCAGAAGCTGAGGCTAGCCCTAGTTTGGGGGTGGCAATTAGAAATGGGAGCTCATGTGGCATTGGTAGAGGTTGGAGGCCAGGGGCAGGTGGTCTGCATATTTTGAGTCAAAGCCTATAAGATCATCATGGGAGGGAGAGGAATTTGGCCAGTGTTGATAACATTTTGGGAGTCTGGGAAGAGAGAGTGATGCATGTCCTTTCTGTGGCCACTGGGTGAGCTGAGAGCTGCCTAAAGGGTCTCTTCATACCTTAGCCAGCAGCAGTCCAGAGCACTGAGGTCTCAGCTGCTCCCGCAGACCCTTGTTTATTCCTGCATTTACTTCTCTTAACATTTTGCATCAAGCATTCTTCTCTATTAAGGACACAAGGTATTATGGTTGGTGTCTGGTGGTTTTTGTATTCCTTCTTTAACTCCTATTTTTGATTGGGGTTACATTTTCAGGACTAGCTTTGGTGACACAAAAGGAGAATCAAGGTGATTGTTATGGGCTGTATATTTTAAGATGACTTTAGAAAGAAAAAGATGGAAAGAAAAAAAGGAGACAAGGAGGGAGACATGATTGTCCCTCTAACTAGGGGGAAGGAAGGGGCAGCTCTGAAACATAGCATGGTAGTTATGAGATACCTGGTCATGTACCAGCTAAGGTGGTGCCACATGTGGCAGTGGCTATTAACATCCATTCAGCCTACCATCTCTAATTTGCTTTAGGAGTGTCAAATCTGGCTGAAGAGTTGGCTTGGGGGTTAAGCACACTTGATGCTTTTCCAGAGGACCTGAGTTTGGTTCCTAGCTCACAACCACCTGTAACTCCAGGTTCATCATATCTGGCCTCCACAGGTACCACACATGTACATGGCATTCATTCTTCACAGACAAAGACATAAATAAGAATAAAATCTTTTAAAAAAGAATGTTAAATCCTTGGCTCATTTAAAAAAAATTGAGGTGTGCATTATTTCAAAATTTATGCTTGAGAGAGCACTTCATAGAAAATTTTTAAGGAAAAGTAGTTTATTGAGTACTGCATATAGCCAAATAAATTTTTAACAGCCCCATCTCCAGTGAGCATGATTCAATAAAAAAATGCCATTATACTCTTGAAAAATTTACTGTCAAAACAAGGAAATGCAGATTTTTTTTTTTTTAATCTCTTTGAGACAGGGTCTCCCTGTAGCCCCAGCTGTCCTGGAACTCACTATGTAGACCAGGCTGGCCTTGAACTCACAGAGATCTGCCTGCCTCTGCCTCCCGAGTGCTGGGATTAAAAGCGTGCTCTACCATGCCCAGCAGTTTTTTTTTTTTTTTTTTTAAACAACTTTGTGTGGTATAATTTTTTAAAAAATATTTTATGTGTAAGAGTGTTTTGCCTGCATGTATATAAGTGTACCACATGCATACAATGCCTGTGGAGGCCAGAAAGAGAGTGTCAGATCCCCTGGACCTGGAGTTATGGACAGTCATTAGCTGCCATGTGGGTGCTGGGAATTGAACCATGGTCTTCTGAAAGAGCAGCCAGTGCTCTTGACTGCTGAGCCATCTTTCCAGCCCTTGTTGAGGTATAATTTAAACAGCATAAAATATGCTTATTTTAAGTGTACATTTAAGTACATTTATTGTTTTTTGGGTGTGTATGTATGTGCTATGTGGTATTTGCTATATGCATGTGCATATATGCTAGGGGAGAGGTGCGTGTTTCTACGTATGCATGCACATGTGGAGGACAGAGGTTGGATATCTTCCCCTATTGCTTTCTGCCTTTTTTTTTTGATACAGGGCTTTCACTGAACATGGAACTTAACCATTTTGGGTAGACTGGCAGGCCAGCAAGCCTCCAGGATCCACCTGTCTCTGCCGCACCCAGCACTGGGGTTACAGGTGTGCCCTTCCACACCTGGCTTTTTACTGAGTCCTGGAGATCTGAAAGCTGGTCCACATACCTGCATGGCAAGAATTTTACCCACTGAGCCATCTCCCCAGCCCCCATTTTTAATGAATTTAATAAATTTCCTGAGTTGTGCAACCTGATGTTGGGTCCGATGTTTTTGTTTTTTGACAGATAGCCTTGCTGTATATCCCTACATAGACTAACCTGGTCTTGAACTCATGGCAATCCTCCTGCCTCAGTCTCTCAAGTGCTGGGATTGCAGGTGTGTACTACCAACACCTGGCTTCATAGATCAGTTTTAAAATGTTTTAGTATTCCAGAGATAAAAGTGGTAGATAGATTTTCTGACAGTGTCCATATCTAGACCAGCATACCTCTGTCCCACACCATTTCCAGTCCAGGGCAAAGTAGAGGCCAGTGAGCCATGTCCACCCTTCCCGCTCCACTGTGGACTCCCCCTCTCCTTCATCCTGTGACCTGTGCACAGGTGGAGGCACTTCCCACCCTTGGAACCAACTCTGTTTGCTCAGCGTACATCTTGCTCAGTGTACATCTTGGAATGGAGGCAGTTTCCTGCCATGGCAGTTCTCTACTACCCACAAAGCTCTCAGAATTTTTCAGTGGCACTTTGGGGTTTCCTCTCTAGAATTCCTGGGGATTTCTCAAAGGAATGGAGTTTCAACTCTTTGGACACACACAACTCTTCTGCTTTCCCCATAGGTCCACCTTTGCCACCTCATCCTCATGGCCAATAAGGCTCTTCAGGGCTTCATAAAAGTCTAGTTATAGGAGCACATTCCTGTAACTGCAGCCTTGAGGGGACAAGGGCATAGAAAGAAGTGGGCCCCTGTTCACTGGCAAGCCAGATAGCTAGACAGTCAGTAAGATTAAGTGTCTGAGACCCTGGGCCTCAAGGGTAGTGGTGCCTGTGGACTTGCTCTCTATGGTCTCCTTAAGCTTTGGGAAGTCCAGTCCTCTTCCCTTTTCTATTGGGGAAGGTTTAGGTTTTTGTCTCTTTTGTTCATGGATACATCTCACAGTTGCCTGGCCTGTAATAACCATTCATGAAATTTATTGAATAAATATGCTTGGAGGGCCCAGAGGGCAGTCTGAAGAAGACAGGGCACTTTGAATTTCCTCTTATCTTTTTTTTTTTTTTTGAAACAGAGTCTTCCTGCAGCCACCGCTGGCCTCGGACTCACTATGTAGGCCAGGCTGGCCTGGATCTCACCGAAATCTGCCTGCCTCTGCCTCCTGAGTGCAGGGATCAAAGGCGTATGCCACCACACCCGGCTTAAATCTCCTATTATCTTGAGGGATGGCTTCTAGCTCCTTACAGATGTTTGGGTCCCATTTCTCTGACCTCTGGTTTCCTGGCCCAACTTAGGAGCTGGTTGGCCTTGGTCTCCCTTGCTCCTCTTCTCAGGCTTAGGCTTTTGCCTGGCACCCGGGCCCTTTGTTCCAGCTCAGCCAGCCCGGTCCTAAGGTGCAGAAACTCCTGTCTGGCCCTTCTCCGTCTTCATTTTTGGCCTCAGGGAAGCCTCCTTTGCAGCGCGCCACCGGGGCTTTTTCCCTTTCTAGGATGTGGGGATAATGGGAAAGATTCTGCCTCGCCTGCTGGTCAGTGAGCACAGGTTACCCTAACCTAGAGCTACCCCAACAGAGGCCTCTTGCCTGCTCCTGACTGCGTGCAAGGTGGGCGCGAGGCGGACCTAGGTCCGAGCGGAGGGACTGGGGAGGGATGAACTTGGCGAGGGCTGGCAGTTGTCAACCCCAAGGGGGTCAGGCGCGGCTGGCGGGGGCTGCGAGGAGGGGATGAGAGAGGAGCCAGCTGCAGGCTACGAAGAGTGGCGGAGCAGACTTCCGTCTAGACTGCCGTGCCGAAGGCGGGGTCGAGATGGGGGTCGGGCTAAGGGCGGGACCTAGGTGCTGGGGGCGGAGTCCGGGCCGCGTTAACCCCGAGTGGGAGTGGTGGAGAGACGCTAGGATAGGAGGCGTGGGTTATGGTGGGGGGTCAGGTCCTTGCTGGGGCCGAGGCAGAGGTGGGCGGGGCCGGGGAGCACTGCCGCTCGCTCCACCCTGTAGGCGGTGCCACAGGCAGCCTGGGGTGCGACTGGCCCGGCGCGGCTCCGAGGGCCCGCCGCGAGCTCCGCCTGGGGCCGGGCCGGGCGCTCCGGGGGCGGTGCGGCGGGGTTCAGGTACCTCGGCTGCTCCACGTCGCCAGGACGCCGGCGTGTTGGAGTGCGGAGCTCGGCCGCGGCGAAGCTGAGCCCAGGCCGGTCCCTGTGTCCCGAGTGCCGCCCGCGAAGTCATGGCTGGGCCGGGCCCCGGGGACCAGGACGAACACTACGATTTCCTGTTCAAGCTGGTGCTGGTGGGCGACGCGAGCGTGGGCAAGACGTGCGTGGTACAGCGCTTCAAGACCGGCGTCTTCTCGGCGCGCCAGGGCAGCACCATCGGCGTCGACTTCACCATGAAGACGCTGGAGATCCAGGGCAAGCGGGTCAAGGTGGGGAGCGGCGCGGCCAGGGGGTGCCTTCTGTCCGGTCCCCTTTCCCGGCCCCTTCCGTCGGAGCGCGCCTGGGCCTGGGGTCGGCGATCCGTCCAGGTCCGAAAGCCCCGCCTCGGGTTCCGGGATTGGGCCGCGGGGCGGGGGTGGGGTGGGGAAGCGGGCCTGGAGCTCTGGGCGCGTAGCTCCGCGCCGAGATAACTTGCCCGCGAGCGTGAGCACGGCGGAATGCGGGGACGGACTCCTACGCGGCCCTCTAGGGAGAGCCGGGCCAGATATTGCTATCCCGTGACCAGGAGGGACCAGGAAGTGATGGCGGCTAGGGCTGGAGGGCCAAAAGTTTTTGTCAGAATTTCCGTCCTGGCCACGCCTCCCTGCAGTCTCTCTATGGACCTAGAGGTGGAACTCTGTTGACCCGGGCCCCCTCCCTCCCAGCTGGGTTTGGATAGAAACCGTAAACTTCATTTATACCGGAAGGTGGGGGAGCGGACCAAACTTTGGCAGTGACCCCAGCAGAAAATGCAGGATGTGGTTGCCCAGTGTCCTGGCAGTGGGTTGAAAAATATTTGTGATGAATGAAATCAGTTTCTTTTTCTTTCTTTCTGTTTTGATCTTTTTTGAGACAGTGTCTCCCTGTAGCCCCAGCTGGCCTTGAACTAACTATGCAGACCAGGCTGGCCTTGAACTCAGACATCTGCCTGCCTCTGCTGGTATTAAAGGCTTGCACCACCACACCAGGCTTTTGAGATTAGTTTCTTAACCTAGGTGTCTGTCCTTCCTAACAGAGTAGCATCCTGGACCCCAGAGAGTATTGTTTTTGCTCATGGAAGCACTCAGTAACTTTCCTGAAGTGCAGCCTACAGAAACCCTTCTCATTCTTTCGTGGTTTCAAGTTCTCTATGATCTTAAGGACAGCGCTTAAGACTGCTTGGCTTTGGGTATTCAGGAAGTGAAGCCAGGGAATAGGAGTCTCTGCCTTTTTGGGTGCTCTCTGTTGCCCTTGACTGTGATACTTAGCTCTTTGTTTCTGTAAAGTTGGGATAATTTCTGGGTGTTGCCTCCCTCCTCTCCATCCTGTAGAAAAAGTAAGTCAACAGTCATTTTTATGACCACAGTGTCGCTAGAGAAGATTTGCCTACAAGGTTTTAAACAGTCTTTTGAGTTTCAGTGTATTTTGGTCTCCACAGGATGGACAAGGGCCAGGTGCAGGCAGGGCGCCTTAGTTGTTCTGGACTGTCGTTTTGGAGCAGGTGGCCAGGGAAGGGCAGACATGGGTGGAGTGTGTTCATGGTTGAGTTTGTGCCCTCTGATAATGCCAGCATCACACTCAAAATTACAGTGTAAAAATAAGAGGCACAAAGAGCAATGGTTTCCTTTTGGATAGCTGCTGGCCTCTGCCCAGTGTGTGTATGGAGGCCCTGTGCTGACCATGGTCAAGGAGCAGGCAGTGCTCCTGTTTACCTGTGGAGAAAACAACCTGTCACCTAGTGCAGCCCAGGGTGGACTGTGCACTCAGGTTATGCAATAAAGGGCTGGTCAGCTTGTTGTTTCTTTTCCTTGTGGTCATTCCAGATTTTCCTCAGGAGGCATCCTGGGGGCCTCAGAGCTACAGAGCTGTGTATGTGGTAATACCTCAGAGCTGTGTGGGCTGCTCTTTTTAGAAGCTATTGTGAGCTAGCTGTTTTATGGGCATGTTCTATAGACCCAAGGGATAGTTGCTGTTAATTATCCTTTTGTGGTGTCCGGGATTGAACCCAGGACTTGGTGTACCACTAAGCCAATCTAGGTTTTGTAAGAGTTTGACGAACTTTAGAGAAACTACTGTTTCAGCTCTTCTGAGGTTAGAGGTACCCTAGGAGTTGGGAAGACCAGGAAGGCAGGGGCTTAGCTTCACATTGTCAGAGTAAAACCACTTTAGTTCTATGTTTCGGTTTCACTCTGCTAAAATGGAAGAAGTTTGAAATCATAGATTGAAAGAAGTTCCTTTGTATACTCACTTCCCGTTGCAACCAGAGTACTATCCTACTTGAAGAGATAGACCCCTGTCTGTCTCTCCAACTTTGTTTTCCTCCACTGTGTCTCCTATTCTGTATTCTCTGACCTCATTAGCTTTCTTGTCCTGCCTCAGGACCTTTGCATCTGTTTCCCCAACTTGTCATGTTGTGTTCCTCGATCCCCATATAGCATTATTTCATTAATCAGGGCCCAGTGTGAATGCCACCCTCTAACAGAGGCCGCCTCTGACCTCCCAGGTCCTTTTTCTCATTGTCTTATCTACTTACTTGGACTTAAAATTACTTGGTTTGTCTCTTCCTGTAGAAGATAAACTCCTTACAGACATAAGAGATCCAGTTAGTCTGTCCAGCAGACATGTGGTGTTCAATACATGCCTATTTACTGGTTAATATATACAGAATGGAAACTGAAGCCAAGAAAACTGAAGTGACCAGCTTGCTCAAGGTCTCTTATAAGTCAGTGTCAAAATTAGGATTTGAATTTAGGGTTTGACTGACTCAGTGCTCACCTTCTGTCTGATCCTAGAAAAGGACCCTGAGGTTCTGAAGGCTTGGTGACCTCACTGAGAGCAGAGTAAGCATTTGGGCCTTTTATTTTCTGGGTTTTTTTAAAGGCCAGACTTCATGTAGCTTCAGATTCACTATGTAGTTGAGGATGATCCTTGAACACGTAATCCCATTGCCTCTACCTCCTAAGTGTTGGGATTATAGGGGTGGGCCACCACATTCAGATTTTTTGGGGGGAGGGGAGTCTTTATTTTAAATTTTTAAATATTTTTATTATTCCAAAGAAAGGCAACTATTAACACATTTTTTCCAGAAATAACTTGAAGCAAGTTACATAAAAATACATATACAACTGCCAGGCGTGGTGGCGCACGCCTGTAATCCCAGCACTCGTGAGGCAGATGCAGGTGGATCTCTGTGAGTTCCCCCAAATGCTTCAAGGCCTCTGCCTTGCAACAAAAAGGAGAAACTAAAAGGTCTGTGTTAAAAAAAAAAAAAAAAAAAAAAAAAAAAAAAAAAAACAAACCCCATATACAATGAAGTTTAAGGGTGGAAAAGTTGGGATAAGAAATCAAAGACCAAAGCTGGGCTACATGTCTTCAGTCAGTCCCAGCAGAGGACTTGGGAGGCAGAGCCAGGCAGATCTCTGTAAGCTCCAGCCCAGCCTGGTCCACATAGCAAGCTCCAGGCCATCTGGGGCTACAGGAGACCCTGTCTCAAAGAGACTGGGGGGAAAAAAAAAATCAAAGACCAAAGGATTTGCCAACATAGGGTCGACTTTGCTAGAATAATGAAGATTTCCATTAGCTCTGTTCTTTGTTTTTTCTTTTATGAAAGTCCTAACTAGTTTGTTGGGTTTGCTAACAGAGCATAGTATGAGGGTTTCTTTACAGAAGAGTGGGCTGGAGGGGGCTGGTCTTTTTGAGACAGGGTCTCCCTGTAGCCCCAGCTGGCCTGGAACTCTCTAGGTAGACCAGGCTGGCCTTAAACTCACTCAGATCGGCCTGGCTCTGCCTCCCAAGTGCTGGGATTAAAGGCATGTGCTGCCGTGCCTGGTGGCCCTATTTCTTTTTTGTCCACAAAGTGTGTTGTAAATAAAGTCAAAATTCACGATGTAAACAAGGAAAGGGTTTATTTTGTTACTACTGTTGTTGCCCTTTTCCTGTCTAAGTGCCTCAGAAGATGACTGGGTTTGCTTCTCCTGCTTTTGTCAGTCCTCCCGATCACACTCTCGCCCAGGACATCTCTGCTGGTTGTAAATCCTTAGCCCATTCTGACTGCTTTACTCTTATCTTAGGCAACACAAAAGTCTGTTATATAAACGTGGTTTTGCAGATCACCAGGCACACAGGCTTAAGTTCAGGGAGTACCCAGCCTGGTTAGGAACTCACCCTTGTAGTTGACCTCATTAGGCCTGCTGGCCACTTGGGGGGAGATGATGCCGCTGCCAGATCTCTTCATAGAATTCTGTGGCTTTGGACTGGGGCTTCCAGATCTTTGACCTTAACTCATGCTGCTCTTGGCCTTACAAATGATTTTTGTTTTCATAGCTGTTTCTGTCACTTCCAAAGTGGATGCAGGGTAGGTTAAAAGGAAGTGTATGTGTGTTTCAGTGTTGGTGATGGAACCAAGGGCCCCATGCACTCTAGTCAAATACTCTCCTCCTGAACTACACCTCTAAACCAGACTTTTTTTTTTTTTTTTTTGGTCTTCTTAGTCCTTCCAGTCTAGGATCTGGCTTTGCTTTTGTCTATTTCCTATTTGGATAATATAAACTTGAATTTTTCACTTCTGCTCAGAAATAGCAAAAGGACTGTTAGATAAGAGAAGTTCTAGGTCACGGTGGTTGTCTGAAGAAATCTGTTCTTGATACCAATGGCAACCATCCTCATTGTAAAATAAACCTTGCCCCCTGAGGATTCTTACAGTCCTCAGGCTGTGCTCTTGTGGGAGGGAAAAAGGGCCAGCTTCAGAACTGCACAGAGGCAAGCTAAACCCTTAGACATATGATGGCACCTCTTCTAATTTATGGTTTTCTAAGGAGGCTTTACAGATCTGGCCCTAGTGGATCATCAGCAAGTGTTGGTGTTTACATCCTGTTCTGGATAGCTTTAGTGTCAACTTGACACACGTGGGTTGAGGGAGCCTCAATTGGGGAATTGCCTTCATTGGACTGGCCTGTGGCCATGTCCATGGGGCATCTTGATTGATGAGTGATGTGGGAGGGCCCAGCCCACTGTGGGTGTTGCCACCCCTGGGAAGGTGGGCCTGTGTTGTATAAGAAAGCAGGCTGAGCAGGGGCCAGGGGAGCAAGCCAGTAAGCAGCATTCCTCCATGGCCTGTGCTCCAGCTCCTGCTTCCAGGTTCCTTTCCTGAGTTCCTACCTTGGGCTTCTTGATGACCTGGGAAGATGTAAGCTGAATAAACCTTTTCCTCCCCAAGTTAGTATTGGTGAGAGTGTTTTGTCATAGCAATGAAGAAACAGACTAGGACACATCCTGAGAGAGGGAGTGGTATGGGGAGATGGGGGGCTCTCAGCTCACTTGCCAGTGACATTTGGAGATGAATCACTTTCCT